AATGAAAGCCGTTCGTGTTGCGTTAACAAATGTCTCTATGTTATTGAATTTTTCGCCTTGGATCAGGGGAATTCAATGATAATTACTCGTTACTTTTATTAACTAACGCATGTGCAATATCCGTCAACTGTAATAACCTATTCCATAGATTTAAATTACAATAGTATATCAGTTGGTTCTTAATTTGATTTGACTAATCATGTACATAGTCAGTATAGTTTAAAGAAATATGTAATCAAATTTATTGAGGCTGGCTGACTATTAGGTTGTAGTATAGGGACCAATAAATGAACCAATTTAATTGCTCGTGAGAATGGTTTGATTGTGTACCCTTATTAAGACGTTCACAAAAAGAGACATTAATTCAAACTGATTGAAATATATTCATTCCCAGAAAATCAGTAGCAAAAATGTTATATAAAAATATGTGTAAAAGCTATCATATATCCCGACATAAGAATTTGCAGAGCCATCCCTACAGGCGTAACTCCCACTTGTCAGTAAACGACGGAATGGAAAACTTTGATCGAAAACAGCACGTAGCAAGAAACGTCGTAGCATGAGAAAATGTTCTCACAAGAACTTTCTTGGATTTTATTCATATGTGCTGCAACCAGCACGCTCTACGGCAAACAAGTTTGAAACATTTGACGTATTTGATCTGAGATACTTGCGAGATGGATTTTGATTGATTTTATCCAGTCATGTTTGTGTTCAGAAAAACATATAAGCGTCCCAGTGGTATTCCGCATCGAAATCATATAACTACATATCGACTTTACTAAGAGATGCTTAAAACGTTTATTCAATTTAAAAATGTCTTAATTACGATTTTTCTTAAATTCAAAATGACGACAATATAGGATGGATACAATACAATAACTCTTTCATGTCGTTTCACCTTTGTTAGTTTTACCCCTACTGAAATTACCCGTATATACAGTATTGTTTGGCTGTATATAATTTCACAAAAAACTAGATGGAATTGATTTCAAAAGGAACCTTATAATTATACTTATTATACCTAAAATGTCAATCTGTTCCTTCACTCTCTGTAATCTTTATATGCGGTCATCTTTAATGTTACTCCTCAAGAATTGTGGTGTTATAATTATGTTAACGGAATTTCCTATGCGTTTGGTTTTAGCAAAGATTGCCTATGCTAAGACAAATATAGAAAATTTCGTTTGTCATTTAAGCATAAAGGCAATTGACGTTCGTTTAATATTTAACCATTGGATTAATTAAAACCTTTATATGATATAAAGCCAATTAACACTACCAGAGCGTACCTTCACCTACTGATGAATTGTTTATACTGATTTTGGCAAGATAAACAGAACGAGTGTATATAGGCGTGGATGACAGCTTACTAATGAAAGGACAGTGTACTTGTATATCAATTTGGATATAAAAACCAAAATGCTGACGGGGTGGAAAATCCCTTCGGATCTTCTGCTCCTCGGGGACTCAGGAGCCAGAAGTATGTGGTGATTCCACTAAAAACCACGGTGACGGCCGGCCTAAGGTGCCCTACTCTGGGAGGACCCGGGCCATGTTATTTCAGGTCCTCCCTGAATTAACACCATGCCTAAACAGGCCCTAACCCAATTGCGTCTTAATGCAATGAGGCCGCTCTTCATCGCCGGTTGAAGCCGGAGTGCCGAGGGGTACTCCGACCGCAGAGTAATTTGTTTTTCTTGTCACCATTTTGTTTCTTGCTCTTATACATGAGCTAACGCGGTGTTGCCCTAGCGACTGAGATACCCCACCAGCCGTTAACCTCTTCGCCGGGCTCCGCCCGTTGCTCCATGTGGAACTTTCGATGGCAATCCCGTCGCCCCCATCAGACGTCGTCCTTCGACGCAACCCTCCCACGTGCCCACTGCGTAACAGAGGGACACGTGGAGGGAGAAGCCTTGGCCACCCTGCCCTTGTGGTTTTTATAGAGGTTTTCTCATCTTAGCCAGTCTCCTAACTATAAAAAGGCCCCCGCACCCGATAAATCGGCGTCTGCGGGTCGGGCAGATAGGTTGCCGGTGTTCGGCATTGACCGCCGCCAGTTGCTCTGCTTAATGCGTAACTTCTGACGGCCACATTCCCCGTGCAGGGGACCACATTAGCCGCGCCAGTAACATAAGGTCGCGTGTACCGCCTTCCGCGTGCAACTGTTGGTCGTCGCATCGGACGCCGTGCTTTGGTCTTTGGAAGGCGATAAAACGAATACCTATAACTACTTATTAAAAAAAAATAGTTAAAGCAGTATTTCAGAAATGAAAAATTAAGTTTTAGTTTTGTAAAAACAATACTTAGCTTAACAGCAGGCAAGGAGCAATTAAGATTCCACTAATTAACGGCAAAAACGGCCAACCGTTTTAACGAGTGGCAATACATTTATCTTTGTACAAATAGTCTGAACATCAGGTGTATCCCGTAATAGAAAGCCATTTGTTTACCGTCGGCAAACTTCACCTCGTAACCCTAAAATCTAATTGGATTTAATTCCATTAGCAAAGGTCCAAATGGGACCCCTTAATTGTGCTGACCGATGCCGGTTTATTATAGTCCTGGTCCTCGGCCTGCCGTTGTCCGAACGTGCGTCATTTCATTATGGAAAACATTTGCAAATATAGATGAATCGGCCTCTGCTAATAATATTACAAAAACAATTTTGAAATTATTCGCTTATTCGAGTAACTCACAATATCTTTGTTGTTTTTAATAAAGTGCACGTTTAACCTTTTAAAGCTTAAGCACATATCACAACACATCACATCAATAGTCTTTAATAGTCCACTGCTGGACATAAGCCTCTCCTTAGCAAGGAGGTTTTAACCGACTATACCACGCTGGCCAGACAAGTTGGTATAGGGTTTGTGTCAAGTTTTCTTTCTCTTTGCAGTGTTTTTGTCCTACGTATTTTGCTTTCTTAGTCGGCTCTTACAATACCCACGGGATGAATAGGGGTGGTGTAACTCCGTATTCTTAATACGTCACCACACGACAAAGCATAAGCATCTTGTTATAATATTAATTGCCAAGTGATGAACCAAGTGTTGTTTCTTAGAATCCCATCATGTATTTTTTTACTTGGACACATAAACACTTTAAAAATATTTTTAAAATAAATAATATTATAAGATTTTTAAAGTATGTCTGATTTAGTCACTGAATGTGTTACAAATGACCACACTGAATGAAATGTTACATATATATATATACATACGTCATGTCGTGTGGGAAAAACTTTGAATAGAAAAACCGATAATCAGCGCATTTTAAACCTACTACTATGGCAGTAGTAGGTTTAAAATACGCTGATTATACGCTCTCAGCGCATCACTTAGTCACTAATAACAAAAAACAATATGATGTATTTTAGAAACCAAATATTTATATTATGGACGGCTTTACTCCAAAAGCTTTAGTCATTTACGTAGGTGATTGGTTTCGATACAAAAACAGTACGGCCCATATAATTTTACCGTACCAGTTCAAAGTACCTTCAAAATAATGTGATGTAACCCAGGTTTGAACCGAAAATCATGACTACGTACGTAAAATTTACGTAATTTTTTCCTAAGTACACAAGCTAACATGATATAGATTTAACTGAAAATACAATGTAAATGGAACAAGCGTACGTTTGTGTGGATTCATCATTTATTTTAGACTTGAATTTAAACAAAGGCTAATTTAACGGGAAACAGGATAGAATTTATAATTTGAAAATGTATGAATTTGAAAATGATTCATCGTATCCGGTTAGCTAAGCGGTCTATTTGCTTAGCAATGGTTAGTCGATACTAATAGCATATGAACATAGATACGCTAAAAAGAGGTAAAGTCTTGATGGCATGCTACTTTGTATGTAAATTATTTGATGATATGAGGAAATGAACTCTTCAATAAATTACCCAAAGACATAAGGAATGCGATCTCGTTTAGTATTTTTAAAAGAAAACTCAAGAAACATGTGCTCGAAAATATCTCACCCACCAAAAATAATTACCTATAATATGAACTCAGTGCAAACATATTATCTATTTAAAATTTTATTGTATATGTACAAAAAAAAATAAAAAAAACTATTACGATCGTGTGAAATGAAACAGTACTACCGTGCTTTAACCTGTATTGTGATCACGAGTCCGCATTTTGCAAACCTATGCGAGGGTACACTTATATCTCTGTCTCTAGTCGTGGAAAATTTGAATACCGACACCGATTGATTACTATAACAAGTATAATGTAACCGTGTCAATTATTTAACGAAAATGATATAATATATTTCCTATGTCCAGCAGTGGACTAGTATAGGCTGTTGATGATGATGATGATGATATAATATACAAATGTTTGAGTGATGAAGTATAATATATTAGTGTATTAAGTGAAAGAAATGTTCTCATGTAAGTGAAATGTAAATTTCTTTTTGAGAAAAATAAATTCTTTACCCACAAATGGACATCAAAGTTCCATGATAGATGAAAATAAGAAATATTTTTATTTAATAATGTACTTTTGAACGGCAACTAGACTACTGATTAACATACGTTAACAATATGCGTACACATAATAAATAAAGTAGACCCAGATTAAGAACAAATGATAGTGCTTATCACACAAGTATTTGTCGCAGGTGCTAATTACGCAAACCCGCAAACTATGGCTGACCAACAGGTCTGTAAAATGTAAACTAAAAACATTTAATGTAACAACTACGTGTATATCTTTTAAAATCCATGGAGGATATACCCACTATGATTTCATCACACTATTTTATCAAACTTCAATATCTCTGTATTCTGAATACATCGATATTGTCTTATCGTTCTGATAAAAAGAAAATTATTGGAGTTACAAATTTTATTTAACTTTCAGCTTTATTGCCACTTCGTCGTGAACGATTTAAGATCACGCTGATAGTAAACATTTAGTTACTCGCAAGTCTGTGATATATTGTGGTAGTGGTATTGTGTTTAAGTGAAATCTCAAAAATGTCGCTGTCAATGTATTATATACAGGAAAATGTGGTTGTGAAAACTGCTTTGTCATCATACAATGTTTTAGTTCACATATTGATAGGAATGATTGTAGGAGTATCATTATTGTTTGGTGTTACCAAGAATTACAATGCTACTTCCGTTCCAGAGGATATTATTCTTCTACATATTCTATTATGTGTACCTGGCGTAAGTTCTGGAAGACTTCATATTTTTTTAATCATCCAATGCGAAAAAGTAAAAGGTAGAGCCTTTACTTCACATCAGCATCAACAGCCTACAATAGTCCACTGCTGGACATAGGCCTCTCCTTAGAAAGGAGTTTTTGGCCTACTATACTACGATGGCCAGACGGGTTGGCACAGGATATGTTTCAAGTTTTCCTGCTCTTTGCTGCAGTGCTGTTGTCCTGCGTAGTTTTCTCCCTTAGTCGGCTCTTACGACACCCTCGGGATGAATAGGGGTGGTGACATTCCGTAATCTTAATCCGTCACTACACGGATTTAATTCATTACCACATGGATTTAAAATTGTAAGAAATAATCGGTCTTTTTAAATTCTACTTAATAGCATAGGATTCGTTGTGTTCATGCTAATTGCCTATAGCTTTAAATATTAGTTAATGGAGTCTGGATATTTAAAGATTTTGACAATTGTTCTTTCTGCAATATATTTATAATATCCTGTTTAGAAACTGTAAACGTATTCAAAATCCAAAGCCATTACATAATAATGTCTGTTTTTAGTATTGGAACTTTATCTACATGGATACGTCAACCCCATCGTGCTTTATGCCATCTACCTTCAACACGTTTTTAAAAGTAATAAGAGAAGAGAAATACTAATTGACTAAGTATTTTTCCCACTACTGATTTTGGTAGTGTAAAATTGTTTGTGCCAACCCCACGTCTAATATATTTAATTTAAATTCATTGATTAGCTTTTCCCATTCATTTTCATTCCTGACACAATTCATGAGCACATGTTGTACATATACCATCACGTTACATAATGTCTTTAAATAGATTTAATTACGCTACTCCGTATCTAGCAACATGATTAACTTGTTTATGGACAGGCTGATGAGTTACTGCATACCGGTGATTCAAGTGATAACTGCATTTGAGTCATATATTTATAAAAGAGAGTCATCAAACTACTATGGTAATAACGCCGTTTTGATTGAATGATTTTAAGACACCATGAAATTTAAATTAATGCCTAAATCGTTTATCAGACAAACAACGTTTTGGTAGTAAATAGTATTTAATTTTTGAAGAATTTTAAACTTAACATTCATATAAAAGGCACTGAGATCTGTCACTTTAGATACAGGTGACCCTAGTTCAAGAGACAGGGCCTATTTTAACCTAATATACATATTTTGTCTATGTTTTACTTCTAGTTACAACTTGATAGTTGTAACTAGAAGTAAAACAAAGACAAAATGTGTAAACCAAAATTACAGATAAATACAAGAAGCAAACCGATAAAGTTGTGATTAACTTTATCGGTTTGCTTCTTGTATTTATCTGTAATTTTGGTTAAATAAATAAATAAAAATACCTAAAATTTTACAAAGTTATGTGAATTTAAAAAAGAAATAAAATTTTACAATGTTATGTGAACCTAATAAGTATTATTAAGGGATGATGAACTCAATACCTATGTCTTTTTGTGTTAAAATTAATTTAACCTTTGTTTCGTTTACAGTTCACGCTGCTTATGTCCGAATCAATTATGGCCATGACTTCATACAATGCGTGGTCATCCATTCTCAGTAAAACAAACAAAAGACGAGCGCACTGGGTCATACAAATATTGGCTTCAGGTCTTGGTCTGACCGGATCCATCATTATCATGAGTTATAACGATGTAAATTTTAATACTTCACATGGACAATTTGGTAAGTTAATAATATTATAGCCTTGCAGATTAAAACATAAAGAAACATATCTTATCGTATTAATCTTTGTATCGTAATAATCTCACCAAGATTTACAATTACATTCATATTTTAAATGCTTGGAAATTTTAAATTTAGATGTTTTATTAGTAGGCAAAAAAATAGTATGAGTTAGGATTTAAGTTAATCATCTAACAGGAAAATAATTGTAAGAAACTTTTTAGAAAGACTTAAAAAAACTTAAACTTTTTTTTAACTTTTATTTTTATTTATTGCAAAACATAAACAGTAGAAAGCATTACAGGTGTTAAGAAAATGCATAGTCATCATGGCAGTGTCTACCGAAGGGCATGCAAAATAGAGTAAACATGTCAAAAATCTCCCCTTTAACGTATTTATTTTATTTTTAATTTATTATATTATAACATAACAATTTATTGAAACTTATCATACGACCGGATGGCGTTTGTGTAACGGACTGCTATTCTGAAGGTTGCGGGTTCGATTCCCACTTAAGTCAAACATTTGTGTGCATGAACTTTTAATGTTTGATTTGGTCTAGGTGTTTCTATGTATAATACGTATGTATTTACAATAATAAGTATGTGTTTACAAAAAAAAGTATATGATATATGTATTTATATCAGTTGTCTAGTACCCATAGTACAAGCTCTGCTTAGTTTGGGACTAGATAGCGCTGTGTGAATGTGATAGAATAAAAAAAAAACTAATTTATTTAAACTGCAATAAACATGGGTTAATCGAACTCATGAAGTTGAAACCAAAAGGTCACTAACACTAGTTACTTAATATTAGTATCTGATTAGTAGTTATTTACAGAATTGAATGCCTTATTTACCAGCAATGTTTCCTGTTGAAATTTTCGTTACAAATGAATTTCTTACTTCTGTTGTTTAAACTCGTTAAGATGATTTGTTAAATTAACTTCTTCATTAACAAGCTAATATTCACTGTTTTTGTACTTTCAGGTTTAGTTACTTTGATCTTCACAGTAGTAAACATGACCCTTGGTGTCGCATCTCTCTTCTCGCACAAGCTCCGCAGATTTATTCCACCTATACTCTTCAAGATCGTGCACATCGTACTCGGGATTATCACCTATGTATCAGCCTGTACCTGTCTCTGCCTTGCCTTCAATAAGGACATGTTTAAGATCTGGACAAATGAAAGCGTCGCTGTCGGCGTTATTATTATCATTTCATGTGTCACCTTCCTTGTATTAATTAATCCTTTCACGACCCTGTGTAAAAAAATCATCAAGATCATTAAAGTTAGATCAGAAAAATAGATAATTTAGATAAAATGTAATGTGATATGCATGCTAGTATACATTTATTGTAAGTTTACTCTTTACTTATTTATTAATTATTAGATGTAAGACAGAACTACTCAATATACCACTTAATGATACAATTTTGTAATCTAAATACCACGTTTTAATATTACGTTGATTTCTTTTTCAGTACCTACAGTGCACAGTTTAATTACTCTAATATATTGTACCTGAAACTTTAGAATGGCGCCAATAAAGTTGGCGTTTACAAATTACGTGTGGAAATCCCCTCGGACCGTCACCCCACCGGGGTTTGCGGCGGGGTGGTGTGTCGGACTCGGACCGACTAAAACCACACGGTGTGCCACTCTGCGCCTGTAACAGGAGGGATCCGGGAACAGCTGTTATCAAGACATCCGGACCCCTCCTAGCGCCGGCCCGCTCCTGTTGCGGGCTCCGTCTCAAAAAATTTTCCTCTCTTTAGGCGACGTCCGGGGCACGCGGACGCCGCCCGCGGCCACACTCAGGGCGGCATGAGGCGCAGGTGAGCGCGCCTCCGCCGCCCGGTTCGCCGGCGGCGGATCGGGTCCGAGTGGAGGTCGTCCTCCCGGGCCTTCTCCGCCGCCTCCTTCTGCGAGATTACTTCCTCGCAGAAGGTTGCGACCGCGGTAAAACAACTGTCGCTACCGGCCATGGAGCGTACTACGGCCGGTAGCGAGAGATCCACTCCGACGACTGCAGTGAGGGCCCGGCGCTGCGTCGCCCATGCGGGGCAGACCGCCAGCGTGTGCTGGGCCGAGTCCTCACTGCAGTCGCAGTGGTGGCAGGCGGGACTCAGTTCCCTCCTAGCGACCGAGTGCAGGTACTTTCCGAAGCAACCGTGCCCGGAAAGCACCTGCGTCAGCCGGTAGGTAAGGGTCCCGTGCTGCCGCCCTGTCCACTCGGCGATGACCGGCTGGAGAGCCTCCACGGCGGCAAAGCCAGCACGTGGAATCTCCAGCCGGAACGACCAACGAGCCATCGTGGGTCGGCGAGCGGCTTCGCGCCACTCGCGCACGTCTTCGGGCGGAGGGCGAAATCCGCTCTCCGCCCGGGAGTCAGTCACTCGCCGATAAACTTCGGCGAGCACTTCCGCCTCCAAATCCCACGGGGGAGGTCTAACCTAACCTAACCTTCTTTTTTGGAAGCAGCTCATTTCTGACGGGGTCGCCTTAAACCTTAAAAAATAGATATTGGCTCACTATAAAACGCTGGCCAGACGGGTTGCAAAAATAATTATTTTGAAATAAGTAAATACATATGTATGTGTGAGTATTAAGTTTTTATACTCTAGGCAATTTGATGTACAATCAGTATGTTTGATATGAAAATAATATATTTTCGTACATTAGGTATACGACTTTTTTTTGTCGCGCATTTGAAAAAAAAAATACACTTGATATATATTTTCGAATTATTTCTAGTACTTATATTGTTAAATAATTGTAAAATTATTTAACGGATGAATATAAATTGATGGATGATAAGTTCATTGATGTGCATTTAAAGATATCCCATTTACAATTCATGTAACTTTTAACTATTCTATATTTAACTATTTTACTTAGTTTACAATAAAGTACTTACGCATTGAAAGACCTGTAAAAGGTCGAAATTAAACCAAAATCAACCGAACACGGTTTTGACTAAACTTCATTAAAAACCCACACCACATCAGTCAACTAAATATGTTTGCCGTTTTTAACCTTTTTTTCTTATTTTGTTGGTCTAATACAAAATCAAATTGTAAAACAATAATTCCTACTATTTATATAAAAATGTGTGTTACGACCGGAACGGACACTATACTTTAAAAAAAAATAGTTACATGTAATTCAATTAGATAAGATGTTCATTGAAAATTTTAAAATATGAACAATTATCTATAACAGTTACGGCGCCATCTATTATTGATAATAAGAAATGAATTATGTTTTAGAGTTTTTTTATGAATGAAATGTGATACTAAAAAATCGTGTAAAGATGCCAAAGTTATCATTATAGAGCTAGTATGGTATTTTATTGTAATCAATTGGTGTAATGTTGACGTACATAAAATAGATTTAAATTAGTTTCAGTCTTAAAATATAATAATAATAATTTCATGCATCTTACACACAGCCGTCTGGTCCCAAACTAGTACAGGCGTACTATGATAACCAGACTGCTAATAAACATTCTAATATATTTCTAAATACATACTTATTAAAGATAAATTGCATCCAGACATAGAGCAAATGATCGTGCTCATCACACAATTATTTGTCCTGAGCAGGAATTGAACCCACGATCACCGGCTTAGCAGTCAAGGCCACAATCCTAGTGGATCAACAAGCCAGACAAAATATATAGCACTATTAGGTAGGTATTTCTACCTCTTCTATTAGGTTTATCAAAAGAATTATATATGCCGTCACAACTTCTATTCTGAATATCATAAAATGAATTTTTGATAATATAAGTGAATTAATCTAACAGAGCCTAATTCAAAAATGTCTACTTATAGGAGAGAAAAATGGCTGTTGATAATTTTTGTTAACTCTTCTTACAAAGGTCACAATGTTTTATAACTATTTGTTAAGTAACTCATTTTATTTTTACTCAGCTGAGAATCAATAAACCTCGTGTATCATTTCGCAGGTAGCGAATCCAGAAGCTATTGAGAGACTTACGCTATGTTGGACGAATAGATTTGCTTTCGGTTATACTAAAAAATATATCGGTAAAAAAATATTTGGGTACTGTTAGTACTTGTAATAATAATTTGCATTATTTTATATGGTTCTAGTCTGTTTATAAATATCGTGCTACTCAAATTAGTAAGACTTCAAATTTATGATGCCAACAAAATTAATGTCATAAATATATTAAAACTAAAAACATAAACCGACTTCTAGAAATACTAACTAAAGGTACTAAAAAGTAAAAATAAAGACTACGATGCATTTGGCTACTTTGAAATAAAAAGTAACATTATGAAAGTTATAAGAACTTTGATCTGTTCGAAGTCAGTGACTTGATAGATAGGTAGATGAGAGGTAGCTGCGAGGGGCTATTTTGCAATGATACGCTGATCAGGAAATTACAGCACTATGGTATCAAAAATAAAGCCTTCAAGCCAATCAAAGCCATCAATCAATTCAAGCCAAGCCATCAAAAATAAAACTTCTTGCTTCATATCTATGTAATAGGATTCAAAAAGATGATATTACGAGTAATGGTGAGCGGTGTCCAGGCTGTGTGCTAGAAATGGGCATTCCACAAGCTTCTATTCTCAGCCCTTTTTTGTTTTTAATATATATTTACGACTTACCTCATCTTGTCAAGGATAATCTCGAGAGATGTTTGCAGATGATACATCACTATTATTTAGACTAAAACGGACACTTCCTGATTTCACATTCGTAAACAGCGCCATTTCGAAAGTGGTTCATTGGTTTGACGTCAACAATTTGATATTAAATGAACAAAAAACTAAGTGAATACGTTTCACTATGCCAAACGTCAAGCTAGTGAAAACTACTGTGATGATTAAGAATGTCGAGCTGGACCTTGTGGACACTACGACATTTTTAGGAATAACACTAGATTCTAAGCTACAGTGTGGCCCACATATTGATTAATTGTCGAGTAGACTCAGCTCAGCAGTAAGGAAAATTCGAGAATTGACTGATGTTGATACAGCACGACTTGTTTACTTCAGTTATTTTCATAGCATAATGTCGTACGGTATTCTACTGTGGGGGAATGCTTTAAATTTCTGCCTCAATGATTGCCTTAATTATAAAGTGCTTGAATGTACTTACATTCAAACTATTTTTGTGCTGCAAAAGAGAGCGATTCAAGCACTTTATAATTAAGGCAATCATTGAGGCAGAAATTTAAAGAAATAAACATAATGACAGTGGCAAGTCAATATATTTATGAAAATGTAATATATGTTCATAAAAACAAAGATAGATTTTTGAAAAAAAGTGATGTACATTCTATGAATACAAAAAAAAGAAATAAACTTGTAGTACCCGCCTCTAGGCTCCGAAAGATAAACAAGTCTTTTCGAGGTCAATGTGTCCGATTTTATAATAAAATCCCAAATAATATTCAAGACTTAAGTATTAACAAATTTAAATCCGCAATAAAACATGGCTTGTGCCAGAGGGCCTACTACTCAATTGTGGATTACATAATATGTAAAAATGTAGTGAGGCTAGCATGTTTTTTATTAGTATTATTTTTTCTTATTATTATTAGTATTTATTATGTTTCACTTCATTTTCTCTCTTATTCGATTTTTTTTTCTTAATCCTGTTTTCTCTTGTCTTGTCTTTTTACCTTTTAGTCCTTAATAACGGACATACTGGCACACATCAAAACAATGTTGTGGTATATTTAAAAGTGACATTGTATCTATCTGTGAATTGCATAAGAGTGGCCATAAGTTTTATTTGCCCTTTCTTCTCATAAGGCTCAACCCCTTAGAAACGGGCCGTTGTAGATCATCAATCATAGGCCTGAACATAGGCCTCTCCTTAGAAAGGAGGTTTTGGCCTACTATACCACGCTGGCCAGACGGGTTGGTATAGGATTTGTTTCAAGTTTGCCTTCTTTTTGCAGTGTTGTTGTCCTGTGCAGTTTGTTCCCTTAGTCGCCTCTTATGACACCCACGGGATGAATAGGGGTGGTGACATTCCGTATTCTTAATCCGTCACCACACGGCTGACGGTTGTAGATCGGCACAAGCATATCATAGATTTTGTATGGGTTTGATTTTTGTTAAGTTTATTTGCTTACTATTTGACAAAACAGACATTGTTGCTTTTGTGTGTGTTGATCTATGACTTTAGAGTCTACATAAAAGACGATTTCAAACAATTTTAATTTTTTTATGAAATAAAGAGAGTTTGAGTTTGAATGCATGAACAAAAGCCCCTTTGGAAAGTGACCTCTAGTATATAATAACTACTTTTTAAATGTCA